TTAGTTACACTATGCTAATGATTGAATCAAGCAAAAATCAAATTTTTTAAGAATATTTGAATATATAAGATTTATTTTGTTATTTGCAATTTATTCTGTGACCAATCAGATAATCAGCCATTTTGGATCTATTTTGCCATTCGGAAATAAATCACCATTAATGTTGAGAATCTGAAAATTTTCGGAACTAAAATTTGGAATTTTCCCACAACACTATGATGAATTAGAGATAATAATGTTTATGAATTACTTGATGAAGGATTTGTGGAAGATAAAGAAAACACTGAAAATAATATGCCTTATGATATTTATTATAGTGATGATTTAGAAATAATTTGAATGAGCTTCTACTAGTAATGACAATGGCAAAGTATTTACCCAGTTCAATGTTAGCTTCTTCTACTAATAATGACAAACAACAACAGCAAAGCATTTACCCAGTTCAAGGGGTAGCTTCTTCCACTATTAATGATGAACAATAACAACAAAGTATTTATCCAGTTCAAAGTGCAACTTCTTCTATATATTAATAATGACATACAACAACAAAATATTTAAGCAATTCATCTTATCAATACTTTCATCAAATACATCTGAACCAGTTGCTTCTTGAAATAGATTTAGAAACAATGTTGACATTTTAATAATTATTTATATTAGTTATGCATAAATTTAAAATATTCTTTAAAAAACGCATAAATTTATTATGTAGATCAGTGCCAAATATAGATGTGGAAACTGTGGTTGGCTTGATCTAAAGACCTCCTATTGCTGCGCCACATACTCAAATTTCAAAAAATTGCGATTTCATGATTCATTCAAAAAAGGGTTTCACGTGATTTTGGTTTAAAAATTATTATCTTAGTGCCAAATTTAGATATGATGGTCGAGTGTTATTCTAAATTTAGTAATGATGATCAAAAACTAGTCTAAATTTAACAGTGATTCTAGCGCTCAACATGTTTTAAAAAAGAATAGAACTCTACAACAAAAAATTTTTTTGAGAAAAACTCTTTATTACATTAAAATTAAATACATATTCTATCAACTAATAAAGCTATTTTTTTAAAAGATAGGACAGAAAATGACTTCTATACTTTTAAAATTTGCCCAAAATTTAGGAGGTCTTTAGACCAAGCCAACTTAGGAAATTTTCTGCTCAAAGTTGATCCTGATTTCCATTATCTAATAAGTATTGTACAACAAGGAACAGGAAATAGAAACGGAACAACTTTGAACACCCTTATTATTATTGTAAAAAGGGGGTGCTATCTTTCCAGACTTCATGGTAATGATTTTGTTAAATTAACAATCAATTAATAAAAGAATAATATTTTTATGTAAAAAAAGATTAAAAAAAATTTTTTCTTTTTTGATTAATATTAATATTAAATAATTAATAATAAGACAAGGGTTACGTATTGCATATGACACATGATACGGAATAAGACAAGGGGTATGCCATTCGGCATATTGGACCATGTCAACCCGTATGGCCCGTGTGTTTGACCCATGGGTCAAATCAAATTCATGACCCGACTCGTTCGGAACTCTAGGCCATTGTCACTAATTAATTAGTGAGAGGGTTTATGATAATGGAAATAAATAAAATTTGCATGGATCAGACTAAAGAGTATTGATCAAGTCAAATAAAAAAAAGTTACTATCTCATTAATTATGCAAATTATAATTATTATATTAAATTAAAACATTCATCAAAATTGAATAATTATTGTGTAACTTTTTATATTACAAATGACTATATAAATATATAGTATTGTGTTGTTATTCTTTTTGCCTATAACTAGTGAAGATGATGATTGAGAGTTTTATAGAAATCTTGTGACATTGTTACAAAATACTTATGAATACGATCATCATGGGTTAGTTCTGGGTGAAATGCAGTGGCTATTATATGACCTTGTTTCACTGCTACTACTGTTGAAGTATCAACATCATCATTATTATGATTTAAGCTAGCTAAAATTTCTACATCAGATGAATTGATTGATGAAATTATAGGTGCTCTAATAAAAAGTGCTGGAAATGGATGAGATGGATTTGAAATTTGTTTTATATCTAGGAGTGATTCAAAAGAATCAATCTAAAATTTATAATTTTTTTAAAAAAAGCAATGAGATTGGGTTATAAATAGTTGTAGATTATTAATAGTAATAATAATAATAGAATAACTTGCCTGACTTCCAAAATAATTTCTATCAACTGTGATATCCAAACCACCAAGTAAATTTTGTCCACCAGCTTTAGTTCTAAAAACTTCATTGGCCAATAAGATCATTCCTGCACAAGTCCCCCAAGTAGGCTTAGTGTGTACAAATTCCTTTAACGATTCCCATAGACCTGCTCTCTCAGCTATAAGAGCCATAGTTGTAGACTCACCACCAGGTATTATCAAAGCATCAATAGAATTAAGTTGTTCGAGATTGCGAATGGCAATAACTGAAGATACTTCCGGTAAGCGTTTAAGAATATTAATGTGTTCAAGAAAGGCTCCTTGCAGTGCTATTATTGAAACCAATTCACGATTTTAAAATATGAAATAAAATAAAAAGTAAATTATCTGGATATGACAAAATCTACCTAAGACTCCTACTTTTAAGGCTTGCATTCTTTAGTTTGAGGAAAAAGTTTTATATAATAATATCTGTGTTACATTTCGATAAATATGATCTAATTTTTACGAGTCATTCTTCCCACATTATCTTTTTCCTTTTTATATTATATTAATAATTTCTTCACTTTAATTAAATATACTGATTTTTGATAGTAATTTTTTTCATAGTAGTTAAAAAAAAATGTCAACTCATCCTAGGCAACGTTCACAATCCACCTCTCATTACTCAACACATACAGGTTTTCATTCTCGTAAACAATTAATATTAACATCCATATCAAATTCTTTAGTTAGTGGTGGTAATAGTAGTAGTGGTGCCGATGCAAAGCTGGACAAATCTCCAAAAGGTTCGATTGATGAACCAATGTTACCATTAATTAATTTATTAAATAAACATAATGATTACGTTACCACTAGTAGTTGCTCCGGTAGAATAGCAGTTTATTGTGTTGGTAACGGATTATTAAATAATAATAATAATAATAGTAGTAGTAATAACAATAGTCAAATTATTAATTTTATCAATAATAATAATAATAATAATAATAATAATAATAATAATGATGAAAACCACAACAACTTGGAAGAGATAAAACACCTTAACATTTCAACAAAAGGTGGCGGTAAATGGTTATTTGTATCACACATCAAGATTGAATTTCCATCAGAAAACATTAACAATAATGTTGACAATAGAAAGGAATTAAATGAATTTTCATTAAATACTGTTTTTGGCAAGGAATGTGAAAATGTCATTTTATTTAATAGTAACAATGTAGAAGAATATAATTCATTATTAATGGAAAATCAAACCAGTGACAATAGATTAATTTATTTCAAATTCGAACCTATGGTAAGTTATAAATTATTAAATATATTATTGTTTTTATTTCTTCTATATAAGTATATATTATAATATTTATTATATGCATGTGTATAATTTATTGAATAGATTTTACATATAGAGGCACGAACCTTGGATTCAGCAAAAAACTTGGTCACCTTAGCAATTAATGCAGGTTATCGTGAATCAGGTTTATTAACAACATCAAAACGTCACATGGTGATAATTAAAAGTTCTTTAAAGTTGGATGTACCAATTGCTAATTTTAATTCAATAACGAAAAAAATAAGCACTTTTGTTGATTCATCATATTTATATTTACTTATTTTGCTTGGTAATAAAAAATTTGATGAAAATACTAGGAAAATAAATGAATTATTCAACATGATGAATAATCAACTTTTTAATGATAATTTGATTATTAATAATGTCGGTGGTGATGATGATGATGAAATAATTAAAAAGGATTCAAATAACAGTGTTAATAATAAATCATGGGAAAATAAAGAAGAAAGAAGAGAAAGAAAAAGAAGAGAAGGCTTAGTGAGACAAATTGGTTTAAGAAAGTGTGGAGGTACTATCAGTGATGGAAATGATGGAGATGTTTCGACTGTTGATGACGAAAGTCAAGGTTTAGATAACTCGTAACAAATTTTATTAATAAAAATAAAAATTAATAAAATATGTTCGTTATTTATATTACCTTCTATAAATTAATAGGTTCTCTATTGATTTTATAAATAAATATACATATTTATAGTGCTATTTACTTATATAATAATAATCTATCTTAATGGGCTAAAATCCAATGGTTTTAAAATGTTTGTTTCCATTTTTTGAACCAACCGAACTATATATATATCAAAAAAAGTCTTTTTTTAAATATTCAAAATTATTAAATTATTAATTATAACAACAAAATAATAAAATATTTGTCATACCAGTTTTATAAACTGTCTCTGCCCAACCATCAACCTCCCAAGCCTTTTCACGTGTGATTTTACGGTTTTCAAGATCACTATTTAATGAAAATAAATAAAATACCTTTAATTCCTTCTGATAATATAAATACATTACAACAATAACAATAAATTATATAACAACAACAGTAAACTACTTACGGGTATTGCCACATATGATGAACACGATTTAACAATCCCAACTGAGAAAACCAAGCACCAACAGGTTCACAGAATTGTCTACGACACTCGAGACCACGATGCCTATTTTATCAAATATATTTTAGTGCTTAATATTATGGCTAATATGGTGTATTGTATTCTTTGTTTATCACATAATAGAAAGAATATTTACCAGTGGGTTTCCCATTCTAGTAAATTCCCAGGCTAAAAAACCAAACAGAATAAAATAAAATTAGTATACAATAAACATTATATTGTTAGATTAATAATTAATTAATCAACATTACTTTAAGTTCATAAGTTCTCAACTCATAAATTCCACCATGAACTGCTGGTGGGCTTGTTTTCCAAAAAGCAAACTCTAAACATATCTGACTATAGCGGTTCAAAAGCATAGGTCGAATCTCTTTTAGAAATTGTTGATATTGCTATTTAAGCATTAAAAAAGCCTTTAATATATTCCAACAATAAAGAAAAATGGTGCTAACAATAACAGTGAAAAAAAAACACTCACTGAATCATTATTTAATCTATTGTATGTATCATGGTATCCTTTATATCCATAATATTCCCAGATATGAACTAAAGGGATAAACAATTGATATGATTGATGTAGATAACCCTAATTAGGACAAATTATAATTTTTTAAAAAATCTAAATATTCTTACCAAAAGTATCAAGATCGCCAATTTCAGTCTGCCAACTACCACAAAGATGAACTGAATTATCTGGATCATTGGCAATTCTAGGACAATGTAAAGATCTTTGAAATAATTAAGAAACGATTATAAATGTTTTGACTTATAAGAAATATCATGTAAAAATAAATAAATAATAATAATCTACATGAGCTTTATGTAATCATTAACATATTCTGGTTTTATTTTATGTTCTAAAATAACAATAGAATTTTGGATAAACCTTATTTTAATTATATGCTAAGATAATAGAGACAATATATATATTATGAATTTTGACAATGTTTAAATAGTAATGTTGATTAGAAACTTACTTTGAAACTCATGAACATATTTACCACGTGCAATTAACTTTGAATGAGTATGTTTTTCTTCTTCTTTTGTAGCAGCTGAACCATGAAGAATACTATGAACTATTGAACTTGCCTTTGATTTCACACTAGCTTCTTCATTTATGTTTTCAGAAAATTGTATAGAATCAGTGTGGAATCTGTTAAATTTTTTGGAGAATAGTTGCCTTTTTTCTTTTTTCCTATCAATTAAACTAGAAGTTGTGCATGTTAAAAAACGACTAAACATAAAAGGCTTATTTTTTGCTGAAATCAAGATCGACCTGGCAAAAGAATTTAGATATTTTAAATTGGGAAAGGTAGATTTAACTAAATTATTTGTAACTTGGCAAGTTGTCATGCTTAATCAAACTTTGAGTATTGAATTTTTTAGCGTGCGCATATCAAGTGCTGGCATCTGGACCCAACTGAATTTTGGTTGGTCGCCCAAAATTCAGGTTCCACCCATAGTAATAGTAACATATTTTGTCACGTGAAATACGCGAAGGCATCTAATTCATCTCGCGATACATACTAGCATGTGTGGTACATTGGTGATCTATCGGGTCCATTAGTGTAACATTTTGACCATAATTAGTATTTTATGGCAATGGGACTAGTCCAAAGTCCATCGGTTCTCAAGATGGGTTAAAAAAGGTTGTTTGGATCAAATGATGGGATGATCCAATGTAAGATATAATGATGTAAAATCCGGTCAATTTGCCAACCCTGCTAGCATCAAGGACCACGGATAATTATAATTGGGTTAATGTCTCTAAACCTCATAATAAAAATGGTTCTTTTAAAGAGAAGAATCTTTTGATGCCAGAATTCCATGATTTTGATGATCAGAATTCATGTAACGGTTTTCACATTTTCACATTTTAAAGCTTGAGTTGCAACCTTTTCTGCAACCCCTGCAACCTCTGCAAATGTCTGCAACTATATTTACAGCGTGTAACAAAAATAATTGGAAAAAATAAATTGAATATTGTAGAATAACAACAAATCCGGAATGAATGGGCAATAGCTTATTTTAATCACTATTACCTATAGATTTATTTTATTATAAATTAATATGGTATTCTTTCACCATTT